ATCAGGAAGATTTTCTAGACTAGATTTTGAACTTTTGCCGTCGATATTGAGGGCGAAACCTCAGTATACGATTCAAATCTAACTAGAGGGTGCCAATCACAATTTTATAATTGTGAGATCTGTCGTAGAGTTAAAAGATAACTAGTATCTAGGAGTATTTTGCCTTTACTTAAATGGGAAGTCACATTCTGTTGCTTTTTATAGATTGGGATCTTATTTTAAATAAACATCTAACTAGAGAGCACCAATCATAACATCATTGTCATAGCAGTCGAAGAGTAACTGTTTACGATAACTCGTATTTTACCAGGCATTTTCCACCTTCAATAAACCAATTTATATTGTATGCAAGGCATCGTGTTTAATTTATTCTGTTATAGAGATAACATAAAATAAGAACAAAATAAAAAAATTAAAATTAGACAGAACAACTTCATTACATTAACATCAGTGGTTCAATGAGGGTTCGATAAACAAGCGATTTTTCGGATTCTCACCTTGACTGAAAAGAGATCTCATTTGCTTTTACAGAGATGTGAAGACAAAGCTTATAAGCGGTGACTAGGCCTAGATATCGAAAGTGTTCTATCAGGTTTCAATTATGAGAGACGTTTCTGCAACCCATTTTTAGGTTACAACCTACAGTTTGGGAAACACTGAACACGCATAGTCAATGCCAATGTTTAATGATTTAATGCTGATCAATCTAATCAAACTAATGTTAAAATGACTTGCAATTAATTCATACTTGATGTATGTGTGCTATATCTATCATAATAATTAGCAATGATATACCAATTGGGAAATATGTTATTTTAAAGGCAATATTACATTTTGTCAATCGTTCTCTGTATCAATATAAGTATAGCTATGTGACTCAAGATCATTGGGAACTTGTGAAGCTGTTGAATGTCTCCAGTGACCATACACTTCTGTAGTAGGTACACGGGGCAATGAACGATCTTGTATCGTGTGTCTTAAAATAACTCCTTCTTTAGCCTCATAATACACTTCAGGTTGATTTACCATATTTTCTGAATAATTAACTGTGGTAGTGTAATTATTACGGCACAAACAATAATGGTAGACGGGAACCAGAACAACAAGTACGACGATAACAACAACTCCAGCAACGATAATGATGACAACATCTAACGATAAATGAATTTTTTCTTCATTTTCAGACTTTGTTTTGTGAATAGATTTTCCAGTTGTATGTTCACCTTGGTTTAAATCACTAAGTGCTACTAGTAATTGTATAGATGACGAGGATTTTCCGACTTGATTTCTAGCAGTACACGTTACATTTGTCCCACTCTGTTGTAGGGTTGGTTTCAAAATCGTTAATACTTGCCCTGTGCTATCCACTGTGTATTCGCTACCCTTGATTTGGGGGTAAAACGTCCATTTGTAACTGTCAACTGGTGGATTTGCAAACGTTTGACAAAATATGACAGTTTCAATAGCTGGCAGTACTGGGCTTGTATGTTGAATCTTTACATAGGGTCTGTAACGGACATTCAAGGGGCCTACAGAACAATACGAGCGGTTACTAGGCAGGAGATCTGACACCTGTTTACATATAAATTTCATGCCATGATTGTCTTTAGTCAGAAAGAATGTAAATTCGTTCATTACTTCATCCTCTGTTTTCTGTGTACTTGTTCCTTCTCTGATATTTTTGTTGTTTTCTGTCCAGGTTAAATCCACTGGGGGCTGAACATTTTCTGATTTGCAAGTTAATGTGATCTTTGAACCGACTACAGCGATGGTCTTAGAAACAGAACATATAGGATATTGCGATCTAGGCAATGAATGAACAACTAGTTGTGCTGTTTCTGAACGGAGATACTTTCCACTAGGGTTCAAAATAGCGCAGGTATAAGCACCACTGTCGCTGGATACAACGTCATTGACTGTCAAAATCGATGTGTTTCCTAAAGATGTTTCAAGTTGTGTAACCAATAACCGTTTTCTTTCAAGCGTAGACGTAATATATTCTCCATGTGTTAATTGTGTATTTCCTTTATACCAGGCAAATTGATGCTGGTCGAGCATACCACTAACCGCGCAAGCGAAAGATTTGTCTTCTCCAGCAGTTACCACAGCACTCTTTGGTTCTTCTCTGAATTCAACAGCATAAATGTTTAAAATGCAGTTAAAATTAAGCAAAGCAAAACACAAGGTTAACATTCGAAACATGGTAAAACATAGCGTTCCGTTTTTCATATAAAAATATTACAGTTACTAACATGGGGTGCATACTATGTATAAAATAATACCATGAACTGTAACTCAGTCCTATTGCAATTATTGTATATATTATGACAAAGTCCAATTTAAATTTTGATTTAGTTACTCGTACTCGGTAAATGCAGAAATTTGAATATGTTTTGTTGCCGATATAGCGTAGTTAGTTATGATGTTCGCATTCAGTGGTCCTTGTCGTTAGCTCAGCTCATGTAGAATGCTGAAGACTTCTCATTTTGATCAAGATAAATTAATTCCTCCTATTCCTAAAAATGTATTAAATTGTAAGTTAATTACAGCATTAAACCACCCTTTGAAAATATCAAATTAGGTGTTAACTTCTGAATATGAAACACTGAACAAACCGAAATTATGTTTCATTTATTCAGAGACTTTTACAAATAATCTTTAAATCGATTAACATACAATTAAAGAGCATAATGTAATAGAATAAAGGACTGCATTTTTATATATCTGTTAATTGACGAGGACAATAGTTTTATCTTTTTAATTTTCGGGTGTCAATAATAGAAAATATATTTTCAAAAATCAAAAAAACTAATCCATTCAAATATTGAAGATAATTTTATAAAAGTTTAGCATTTCTCAGTAAATTTTTAAAAAGGACATACTTTCAATTTTCTAATTTACGTATATTGGCCTAAGCCTACTTGTTGTTTAGTAATTAAAATATAATTAATATTATCAAAAAACCCAGTCTAAAATCTAGTAGGCGTACTTATTCAGTTTCAATGATTACTTTGCTGTTTTTACCTTTCATAAATTTATTGATGGTACACTACTTGCCAAAAATCTGAAAATCTAATTGTAACTTTGAATAGCTCGTTTAAAAGAATCATATTAGTTATTATAACCTTCAATCAACAGATGGACAAAAATTGCGTTTTTATACACTGATATACATATTAGTTCAAAAATCCTTAAACTAATTACCAGACAAGTTAATGGACTTTTCCGCTAAGCCCCGCCCCTAAATGTTGTTGCTAAGCTCCCACACAACGATAGTGTAAAAACATACGCAAGCACGTGCGTTTTTAGGACAACTCGTGTGTTTGTTAGACACTCGCGTATTCCTGGCACTGTTGTAATTGGTCAGTTGATAAGTTTAATTGGCACTTCAGAAATGTCTATTGTCCATGCAGAATGACAGAAGAAAGGTGTTATTTAAATATCTGTTAACTGATTTTTTTTCTCTTTCAAAATTAAAAATTATAATTTCATAATTCACAGAAATATGCAAATTAGGCAAATCCATTAAAAAAAATTAAATCTGTCAATTTTTGGGACATGGTTCAGTCATTGTTTGTACATGTTAGCATTAAAGCAGGTCATAAGAAATGCTATAAGACAATTTCACTAACACGTTTACTTACGATAATTATTTAATAGTAATGGTTAAACTTCATAAAAATGCTTGTACCTGTAACATCACCTAAGAAGTGTATGAAGTACGTATAGCGCAGATCATGAGGCTAAGTATGTACGTTTTCTATTCTTATTTTGGCTGATTGTTTGGATTTTTCATTAAAAATAGTTTAGTAAGAAAAAAATTCTAGCTAAGAATATTAATACTAAGAATATTCTTACCTAGCAAATTTTTCTCACTATACTGACTTTATTTCTCAAGAAAAAAGTACTTCTTTTAAGTAATTTTTTATTTATTTATTTTTTTTTGCTGTTTAAGAAATATTTTTTTTTAAATGAAGCTTCTCACTTCCATTTTTCCTATTATCAGTAAAATAATTTTTGGCAAGACTTTTCTTTTTCTTAATTTTAGAAAATATTATTTTCTTGAAATAAGAATTTATCAAGAATATTTCTAGACTACATTTTGAAGTTATGCTGTCTATATCGGATCCTACCCCAAAGAAAACATTCGCTAACTCCCATGCCATTCTATTCGTTTGCAACACTTAACACATGGTTTCCGCGCAGCCTTTAACACGACATTCCGAGTGAAATAGGCCTAGTGTGTTTCCAATTTACCAGTCAAGATTCTTAGGTCAGTAGTTATGAATCATAGAATTTGTCTCGAAATTGTCTCGATCGATTCTGTTTTGCCTCTAATTTTCCGTATCCCATTTCTTCACTGAAAATCAGCATCAACTACGCCAACATTCATTTTAAAGCCATGCCTCCGGAGGCTGTCTCTTATACACATCTTAACTCAGTCCTATTGCAATTATTGTATATATTATGACAAAGTCCAATTTAAATTTTGATTTAGTTACTCTAAACAAAACTTAAACGCTTACAAAAAGGATAAAAAGCAAACTGAACCCTACAATATCACGTTTCTGTATCTTAAAAGACATGGCGTGGGATTTATGAATTTAAGACGAATTTAAGTTTGATAAATCCGCCCCCGAAAAACCCGAACATTTTAGTTTTTGCATTATCATGTATAGTGAAAAAATATAATCTAACGAATATTCCACTGGGTTACTATCAGGCTAGCTGGTGACTTTCAAGTTTATTGTGGGTTTCTATCAGAAACGGGTCACAAGCCTATGGTAGAAGGAGTCAATTAGAAATTGTACAGCCTTTAGGTCAACACCAAATTATGTGTATAACGTGTACGCTGATGCATATTTACATATTTTAAAAATATTCATTTTGAGTGATACCAGGGAAGACTTTGTACTGGCTAGCAAGAACAAGCTTTAAAATTCTAACACTGTGTACAAAGGGGGGGGGGGGGACCCCTCCCCCAACCCCGGATACGTCCCTGTGATTTTGAGAGATTAAATATCGTATTTTGCCAATCAAATTTTCTATAATTGTCAAATCTGTCGTAGAGTTTTAAAATTACTAGTATTCTTGGAGTGTTTGCTTTACTCAATTTACCAGATAACTTTGAGCATTTTTAAATGAGAAATCATTCTGTTTTTTTCCCCTTTTTTTAGATATTACGATCATATTTTATATAAGCACAATGCAGTCCGTTCATATTTAATTATAGGACACAGATCATAATATATAATTGTCATAGCAGTCGAGGGGTATCTGTTTACGATAACTCGTATTTTAACGGGCATTTTCCACCTTCAATAATCATTTTTTTTCCCGATAATGTGAATAAATATTCGTTAAAATACTTTAAACTCTGCACATTTTGAGAAATTGAACTAAAATTTAACTAACGGTAAAGGTTGGTGTTTAATGTTATAAAACAAGAGACATTATAATTTCCCCTTTTAAAACACTTTTAAAATTAAGCCTACACTGTTGTCGCTTCAATTATCACGTCTGATGTTCTATTCCAGGCTTGGTATAATAATTTCCACATAGTGTATGTTACGCAACTATTCTAATTGCTTATTATGTAACATCTATTTTTTTAATTGTGTAAGTAGGCCAATAACATAATGTAAGTTAGAAAAATGTTTAACAATGGTTTGCAATTGGCACCCCATACATATATTTCATTATGTTTATGAGGATAGAATAGCTTGGTAGTTGTCGTCCAATCTATTAGTATCAATTCTATTCTTGGCCAATTTAAAACAAGTGTCTCCACTCATAATGTAATAGTTTATAGCGTTGAACCAGAGAACAGTTTCCTGGTTCAATTTATTTTCTTATAGAAATAACATGAAATAAAAAAAGTAGATAGAACAAATTCATTATATTAACATCCTCTGGTTAAATAAAGGGTTCTATAAACAGGAACATTTTCGGGAACCCACCTTGTCTGAAACGAGATACCCGCATGCGTTTATTGAGTGTAAAGACAACAAATATAAGCAATGACAGGCCTAGATATTAAAATCGTAGCAGTGATAACGAATATTTATAAGTTTGGAATCTTCAGCTTTCTATTCTGACACTTTAACTAACTGGGCTATTGGAGGGATTGTGGAGTATGGAAAAATACGTTAGCCAATCCAACAAGATAAACCATTCAATACAAAGTAGAACGTAAGTTTAACAAACCATTCATCTAATCAAAAACCAAAACTATTATTTATTGTAATTAACTAGTTTAATCAAATTTGAAGTACTTATGGTAAACGATTGTTTTCCTTCTCTATATAACATGCCAATGTTTAGTGATCTGACTGATAAAAATACACCAGAGTATGCTGATTAATCGTTTTCATTACTATTTCACTATTTCACTAATTCATTTTAGATTTATAATTAGCAAAATATATACCAATTTGGAAATATATTATTTTAAAGACACTATGACATTTTTCAATCATTCTCGGTATCAATATAAGTATAACTATGTGATTCCAGATCATTGGGAACTTGTGAAGCTGTAGAATGTCTCCAATGACCATACACTTCTGTAGTAGGTACACGGGGCAATGAACGATTTTGTATCGTGTGTCTTAAAATAACTCCTTCTTTAGCCTCATAATACACTTCAGGGTGAGCTACTATACTTCCTGAATAATTAACTGTCGTAGTGTCATTATTACGGCACAAACAATAATGGTAGACGGGAACTAGAATAACAAGTACAACGATAATAACAATACCAGCAACGATAATGATGACAACATCTAATGATAAATGAATTTTTCCTTCATTTTCAGACTTTGTTTTGTGAATGGATTTTCCAGTTGTATGTTCACCTTGGTTTACATCACTAAGTGCTACTAGTAATTGTATTGATGACGAGGATTTTCCGACTTGATTTCCAGCAGTACACGTTACATTTGTCCCACTCTGTTGTAGGGTTGGTTTCAAAATTGTTAATACTTGCCCTGTGATATCCACCGTGTATTCGCTACCATTAATTTGGGGGTAGAACGTCCATTTGTAACTGTCGACTGGTGGATTTGCAAACGTTTGACAAAATATGACAGTTTCAATAGCTGGCAGCACGGGGCTTGTATGTTGAATCTTTACATAGGGTCTGTAGCGGACATTTAGTGGTCCTACAGAACAATAAGAGCGGTTACTAGGCATGAGGTCTGACACCTGTTTACATATGAATGTCATACCATGATTTTCTTTAGTTAGAAGCAATGTAAATTTGTTCATTACTTGATCCACTGTTTTCAGGGTACTTGTTCCATCTCTAATAATTTTGTTGTTTTCTGTCCAGGATAAATCTACTGGGGGCTGAACATTTTCAGATTTACAAGTTAACGTGATCTCTGAACCGACTACAGCGATGGTCTTAGAAACAGAACATAAAGGATATTGTGATCCAGGCAATGAACGAACAACTAGTTGCGCTGGTTCTGAACGGAGATACCTTCCACTGGGGTTCAAAATAGCGCAGGTATAAGCACCACTGTCGCTGGATACAACGTCGTTGACTGTCAAAATCGATGTGTTTCCTAAAGATGTTTCAAGTTGCGTAACCAATAACCGTTCACTTCCAAGCGTAGACGTAATAATATATTCTCTCTGTGTTAATTGTGTGTTTTCTTTATACCAGGCAAATTGATGCTGGTCGAGCATACCACTAACAGTACAAATAAAAGGTTCGTCTTCTCCTGCATTTACCACGGCACTCTTTGGTTCTTCTCTGAATTCAACAGCATAAATGTTTACAATAATGTTAATGGTTAGCAAATCAAAACACAAAGTTAACATTCGAAACATGGTAAAACATAGCGTGCCGTTTTTTAAATCGAAAATACAACAGTTAATAAAACATGAAGTGCATAATGTATCAAATAATACCAAGAAATGTAGCTCAGTCCAATTGTCATTATTGTATATATTATGAAAAAATCCAAATGAAATTTTAATTTAGTTACTCGTAGTCAGTAACTGCAGAAATTAAATAGTTTTGGTGCAGATACGAGAATATTTATGATATTCACTTTCTTGTAGAATTTAGAATTCTAGAAAGTTGTCATTTTGACCAAGGGAAATTCTATATTAAATTCTAAATAAATATAATGAAAATACGCAGTTAAAAGCTAGTAGGTTTATTTATTATTCAATTCCAATGTTTAATTACTGTATCTACCTATCATAAATCTATTAAAAATACATTTTCTGTAAAAATCGGAAAATACCTCAAAAGATTGCATTGTAACTTTGAATAATAGATTTATGATAGGTAAATAGAGTAATTAAACATTGCAATTGAATAAATAATCCACATTAACTTTACAAAATTTAATGAATAAGGATGCGGATTTTTTAATATAATATAAAAACTGGGAGAAAAGGTGGAAAAGTGTGGTTATGCTTCTTTATCCCCAGTTTTTAAATATTAGTAAATCGGTATTTGTTAAATAAACACTATTTTGTGTCTTAGAAAAAACAGTTGTACAACATATAAAAAATTGTTTTCATCCGGAGCCATTCTTTAATGCTTTTAATGATATTAGTCGGAACTACAAAATTAAATCCATCATAAATTGCTAAATAATATCAATTACATAATAACATGGATAGTCTTCCTGAGCATTCTTAAGAAATCACATTTCGATTTTTATAGATTAAATACTTGGAATACAGTATACCATTCAAATCTAACTAGAGGGGGGCCAATCATAATTCTATAATTGTTAAATCTGTCGTAGGTTTTCAAAATTACTAGTATTGAAGGGGCGTTTGCTTTACTGAGCAATTTACCAGACAAATTCGAACATTATTCAATGAGAAATCACATTTTTTTTTGGAGATTGCTGATCATACTTTATTTAAACACAATACAGCCCGTTCATATTTAACTAGAGGACACCGATCATAATGCATAATTGTCATAGCAGTCGATGAGTAACGGTTTAATATAATAATATTGTAATAGGTTAGTGATAACTAATATTTGTAATAAGTTCGGAATCTTCAGCTTTCTATTTAGACACCTTAACCAATTGGGTATTTCTTCTCTAAATGGCGTGCAATGTTTTATGATCTGATAAAAAAAAAATACACCAGAATATGCTGATCAATCGTTTTCATTACTATTCCACTAATTCATTTGCGATTTATGTGTCTTATAATGATCAGAAAAGTATATACCGTACTCGAGCGAATAAGCGTTTGAATAAGCGTAAAAACGTGAAAATTGCCGTAAGCGCCCGTTTGAATAAGTGCCCCAGATTCCTAAAAGCGTTTAATCATACAGTACAGTACATCACTAACTTAATTTTCTGCATCAACTATTTGCATCTATCTTATCATTGTCGGTCGGTCAGTCCATCTATCCATCTGTTGGTCTATAAGTCTCCATTAAGTTTAATATGGTTTCCAGTTTTGATGCATCTTTAGAATCCCGTTCTTGTTTATTTCTACCCTTTTTGGGTTTAGAAGTACAGTATTTAATATCGAAATTTTCAGTCAACAAAAATAAACTGACCTCATCACTCTCGTATCTAAGCAAGAAACCCTGGAATGATCCTGCTAATCTGAATTGGTAAATGGCCATCACGCTTACCACCACCACCAATACCACCACTAATTTCATCTGCTGTTGTGTAAAGACACCCTAACATTCTTGTCATGAGCAATGCTCTCTCTACGATTACCTTTTCTTCACCAAAACCATTTGTTTATCTTCGATTAAAAAAAGGTGCTTCTTATTTTCATCTATTTCCATAAGCGCCCCTCAATTTCCACTCTGTTTTTGAATGAGCTCCCTTCAAAAACAGCCAAAAATATTTTAAGCGCCTAGGAGCTTATTCGCGCGAGTACTGTACCTATTTGGAAACATATAATTTTTAACACACTATGATTTTTTTTTCAATCATTCTCGGTATCAATATAAGTATAACTATGTTTCTCAAGATCATTTGGAGCTTGTGAAGCTGTTGAATGTCTCCAATGACCATATATTTCTGTAGTAGGTACACGAGGCAATGAACGATCTTGTATCGTGTGTCTTAAAATAACTCCTTCTTTAGCCTCATAATACACTTCAGGTTGAGTTACTATATTTCCTGAATAATTAACTGTCGTAGTGTTATTTTACGACACAAACAATAATGATAGACGGGAACCAGAACAACAAGTATAACGATAATAACAACACCAGCAACGATAATGATGACAACATCTAACGATAAATGAATTTTCCCTTCATTTTCAGACTTTGTCTTGTGAATAGATTTTCCAGTTGTATGTTCACCTTGGTTTACATCACTAAGTGCTACTAGTAATTGTATAGATGACGAAGATTTTCCGACTTGATTTCTAGCAGTACACGTTACATTTGTCCCACTCTGTTGTAAGGTTGGTTTCAAAATTGTTAATACTTGCCCTGTGATATCCACCATGTATTCGCTACCTTCGATTTGGGGGTAGAACGTCCACTTGTAACTGTCAACTGGTGGATTTGCAAATGTTTGACAAAATATGACAGTTTCAATAGCTGGCAGCACGGGGCTTGTGTGTTGAATTTTTACATAGGGTCTGTAACGGACATTTAAAGGTCCTACAGAACAGGAAGAGTGGTTACTAGGCATGAAATCTGATATTTGTTTACATATGAATTTCATACCATGATTTTCTTTAGTCAGGAGTAGTGTAAATTCGTTTATAACTCCATTCACTGTTTCCAGAGTATTTATTCCATCTCTGATAATTTTGTTGTTTTCTGTCCAGAATAAATCCACTGGGGGCTGAACACTTTCTGATTTGCAAGTTAATGTGGTGTTTGAACCGACAACAGCGATGGTCTTAGAAACAGAACATAAAGGGTATTGTGATCCAGGCAATGAATGAACAATTAGTTGTGCTGCTTCTGAACGACGGAGAGACCTTCCACCGGAGTTCAAAATAGCGCAAGTATAAGAACCACTGTCACTTGATATCACATCATTGATCGTCAAAATCGACATAGTCCCTGAATATGTTTCTAGTTGTGTAACAAATAACCGTTCACTTAACAGTGATGTAATAACATTTTCTCCATGTGTCAACTGTGTGTTCCCTTTGTACCAGGCAAATTGATGTTCGTCGCGCATATCACTAACAGTACAAATAAAAGGTTTGTCTTCACCAGCAGTTACTACAGCACTCTTTGGTTCTTCTCTGAATTCAACAGCATAAACGTTTACAATACAGTTAATGTTTAGCAAAGCAAAACAAAAAGTTAGCATTCGAAACATCGTTAAACATAGCGTGCCGCTTTTCACATGGAAAATATAACAGTTACTGAAACATGGGGGCTTGTACTATGTATCAAATAATGCCAAGAATTGTAACTGAGTCCAATTGCCATTATTATATATATTATGACAAAATCCAAATGAAATTTTAATTTAGTTACTCGCAGTCAGTAGGCCTATGTTTTAGTGCCGATACAGCATGCCGATTTTCGATTTTCAATAACAAAACAATATATTTTCAATAATCAACAAACTAATCAATCTAAATATTATTATAAACTTCTTATTAAATCTGAAAAAAATACTGTACAATAAAAAAGCAGTCTAAAATAGCTCATTTAAAAGGATCAATTTAGTTATTAACTTCCAACCAACAAATTGAAAACAATTTTTCACAGATTTACAAATTTCTACACAAATCCTTAAATTGATTACCAGCAAAAATAACTGTCTATACAAAGAGATAGAGGGAGGATATTATTTTTTTACCCAATGACAGATAGCGCATCTTCAAAGTTCTAGGTATAAATTTTACAGAATTCTTAATTCGTTTATTGTATGTTTAATTGTATCATTTTTGTTGTTAAATTGTTTTAAATTAATTATTTATTAATTACAAATACATTTGTGCAATCTGCATCATTTAGAATAATTAGCATTTCATATAATATGTATTTTAAAAAATACAATTGTTTTTAGGAATGTTTGCTTTCTATCAGCCTCTATTTTGGTACATGAACTATCGGATTTTAACCGTCCTAGGGGTTACCCATCCACCAGGCAATATTTCTTAGATGGTAATGGTTACAGCAGTCATGCATCATAGAATTTGCCTCTTAAGATGTCTTGATCGATTCTGATTTGCCATTTTGATTCTGTCTGGGCAACACAACATTGTTTGCAATTAATTGTCCTTATTCCCATTTTTTCACTGGAAATCAGCATCAACTAGGCCAAATTCATTTTAAAGCTGTGCCTCCTGAGGGAAAGAATTTGATGAAAAACTCAGGAACGGTTAAGAAGATACAAATTTTGAATACATAATAACTAGGAAGGGGAGGGAAAGTGTGGCTACGCTTCCTTTCCCCCAGTTTTTAAATATTCAAAAATCTGTATTTGTATTTCATCAAACACTATTTTTGTATCTTAGAAAAAAATATATAAAAAAATTTGTTTAAAGATATTTATCAAGAATTTAAAAGTGTAATCCCCCATAAATTTGCTAAATTTAATGTAATAACATAGATAGTTTTCTTAAGAATTCTCAACAAGAATCACATTTTGATTTTTAGATATTAATGACCGTATTTTAAATATACACTGTGCAATCATGGGAATAGAGTATACGATTCATATCTAATTAGAGGGCGCCAATCACAATTCTATAATTGTCAGATCTGTCGTAGAGTTTTAAAATAATTACTCTTTGCCTTTACTAGACAATTTACCAGATAATGTCATGGATAAATTTGAGCAATTTTAAATGAAAATTCACATTCTGCATTTTTAGAAATTAGGATCGTATTTTAAATGAACACAATGCGATCCCATTTGTTTATATCTAACTAGACGCACCAATCGCATTGTTTATTGTCATAGAAGTCGAGTGGTAACTGATTACAATAACTCGTAATCTAATTTTTTACTTTAATAGAGCCTGGTTCTCACGAGAGCCCTAGTATCCGGATCGGGAGCTAACAGTTAGCGCTAACCGTTAGCACCTGCGTGAGAACGCCCGATCGGTTAGCGCTAACCGTTAGCGGTGTCCGGATTTGCTAACGGTTAGCAAGCGCTATCGGTTAGAAAGTTGAGAGCGTTTCTCTCATCAACCAATCACACGTACGCGTTTACAATTTCCAGTTTCTTATTGGCCAGTGATTCGACCATCATATTGTTGGTATCCGGATCGGGATTTTCTCACGGTTAGCAGGATCCGGATCCTGCTAACCGTTAGCTGCCGTATGAGAACATAGCCTAAATCAATTTACTTCTTCTTCTTGTTAGCTGCCGCCTTCAACATGCTAAAGATTCTGCAGATTTGTGTGTGTGTGTGTGTGTGGCTGTGGCAGGCTGCCTGACGTGTACCTTAAAATTTGTTTTCATCCACTTGAACATTCCAGTTTATTTTTTTCTGTCTAACATTCAAACATCTCTTTTTGTATTTCTCTATTTTAAATTTTATGTATGTTTTTTTAAATAATTTTATCTGTTTATCGATATATATTTTCAGTCACATCATGAATCTATGACACAGCAATGAAAGATTTAAAGTCAGCCAGAGAGAGCGCACTAACGATGTTTGCCAGGTAGTCTGTTCCATTCCAGGGTAGTACAAGGGTAAAAAACATCATCCTATAGTTGGTTCTGTGATGCTGTTCCTCATAGCGTAGATGGTGCATGCCCCTTGTGGATTTTGTAAGACGACGCATTGTTGGGGCAAAAACTGTATTGATATTTGCCTGTCCATGGTAAAACTTTTAAAACAACTTCAACCTCTGGATGAGCGATCGAGATTCAAGAGTTGACCAGCACAGTGAGTGCAACATGTCATGCACGCTTGATGTTCTGAATGTTCAAGACACTCATTTTGCTGCTCGTCTTTGTAATTTTTTGATTCGCCTGCATACTCAAGTCTTGGTCGGACTAAAGCCTTGTATGCAATTTCCTTTGATCTCTAGCACACAATTCTATCAGATAATATGAATTATTAATATGAATTATTATTATTATTATAAACTCTGCACATTTTGAGGAATTGAGCTGAGATATCCTTAAGGGTTGATGTTTGATGCCATAAAACAAGAGACGTTATAATGTCCTCTTTTAAAACACAGTATACAAT